AAAATAATTGCATTGTTCATAAGCTAAAAATGTTTGTATTTATGCAAAACCATCGATCATTCACAATCGGTAACTGGGCCATGTACATGAGTAACTGGCACCCTATGCTTTGGTGTCAAGGTAGAGTCCTCCAGCGGCCCTGCTGGCATAGGTGTCTTGGCTTTGTCCTACGGTAGACCAATTCATCGTACCGCCTTCAGCACCATCTTCAGGACCTCCAGCGGCCCTGCTGGCATAGGTGTCTTGGCTTTGTCCTGCGGTAGACCAATTCATCGTACCGCCTTCAGGACCATCTTCAGGACCTCCAGCGGCCCTGCTGGCAGAGAGAGATAAAATATATGCAAATATAAATATTTAGTATAAATACACAGGTGATTATTGAAAATCTCGCGCGCTGATTGGTCGAGAAACTCAGATTATCACACGATAATCACCTCGAGCGATAATCCAAAATGGCGGACAGCCGCTTTGTTGCTGTTACCGGGGGAAAATGTGTCTTTTATATTCTTTTTTCTTCTTCTTTTTTTGAAAGAATCACCTGTGTATTTATACTAAAACAATTATTTGCCTCAGGCTCAGTGAATATCGGGAATAATAACCTCAATTTCGTTTCGGTTAAAGGAAAAATTATTATGGAAATATTATGGATATGCTGTACGTAACAAAATTGTTTTCAGAAATGACTTTAATAGATCTAAAGAGTCAATTCTTCTCGTGCTATAGGGTAAAGAGTTCCAAAGTATTGGACCAGCAACAGAGTAGCGATAATAAAGATCGAGTTGATAATTTTCACTGAATAAGTAACGTTAGTTTTATATAGTATCAACATGAAGGCTGGTTTTCGTTTTTGTCTACCACCTAACGTTCAATACAAGCTGAGCAGCACACAAAGCTCTCAAACTCGTCCTTCTCAACGTTATGATTCATTTTGAGCATAAAATACTTAATTTATACATTATGTAAAAACTAGTTAGCTAGATGGATGATAAAATACAAGATGACTGTCCGTAAACTGATGAAGTGTTAGATTTGTAMTTTTACTTCTGGTAAATTGTTATTTGTCCAATCAGACGCGCGTCCACTCTTTGTGCCCCAACCTCGAAGATAACCAATACAAAATAATGTTTTTCCCTTTGATTCTGGGGGTGGGGGGAAGGACCCTCTCTGGGTTAACATTGTCCCTGAACAAAATCCTGGATCCGTCCCTGGGACTTCATCCAGAAAATAGGTTTTACATATCTTCAAAAACTCATGAATAATTCATAAGCCTTCGGTCCAATTGGATCCACCATACACGTCACGTGCATGGACATTTATACCCGATAAAGTCCTCTTCATTAGTATTCTTTATATAAAGAATACTAATATGGACAACCTTATCAGAATAAAGGTGCATCCAAGTTTAGATGAAGACTTAGAGCCTCATCAAGGTCGGTCTCACCTACGATCATCGACGACCCATAAATTATCGTCGACTAGTGCCCCTGTCTTGACTTCGGCATGTTGTCTTCAAATTATGGGAGCCTTTTTTGCACTTACTGCGCATGGCAGTGACGTACAAACCTCACTGCGCATGACATTGCTGTACAAACGACTATCAAAGTATAAAAGTCAATGTTCGCGAGGTATATGGTCGCTCTACTTCAACCAAAGGTTTGTAAATTATACCTAAGTTTTTGAAGTAGTTTAATAAACTCGCAGATCGTGTTTTATCGGGTCGAAAACCACTCGGCTGCGCCTCGTAGTTTTAAACCCGATACAACAATCCTGCTCCTTTATTAAACACTACATAACGCATCCAGAGATATTCTAATTTATGAAAGCATTAATTTATGTACAAAGTGTAAACTTACTTTAACATTTCTTCGGAGGTTTTCCATTGTCCTTTCAGTGTGTTTAATTTGACTACCAACTCGTCGTCCAACTCTCCTATCTCTCTCAAAACCTCTGTAGCTTTTTGGATCTTTTCACTGCTGAGCTCGGGATGAGCAATGCCGATTCTCGTTTGATTAAGGTTTTTAAGACTATCCACCAAATTTTGGTCCCAAGAAATCTTTTGGTTTAACTCCGTCAGCCGTTGTTTTGCCGAAATTTGATCGGCCGGTTGCGCACCAAGTTCTTCAATGTAGCTGTTAATTTTTTTAAACTTGTAGAAACGCCAGGTTTCAAAGCATTTTCCCAGGACATACTTGCACATGTTTCTCTGCATGGTTGTGCCAATTTGTATAAGAATGAGCACACTGTCATCTCGATCTTTGCTTGCTTTTATTTCTTGCAGTTGTTTGGCCAACTCTTTATTCTCCTCTTCCAGGTCTTGTATTTTCTTTTTTAAAGCTTTGATCTCATCTTCATGTTTTTTTTCTTTCCTGAGACATACCCTCAACTGTTTCTCCAAATCTGCTATTCTTTCCTCATTCTTGCGGATTTTTATGTCGTTGTTTGAGGCCATTGTGTTTCCTGATTGCTTTTCTGAAAATAGTAAAATTTCATGATACTAAGAGTGCTAAGAGTATGATAGAGTACTGGTACATAACAATAACTTTATTTATTTATATAGCCCTATTTCCATAAAAAGCCCAATAGTGCTTAACAAATATAAAAATAAATGAATAAGAATAATGTTATAGAATAGAAGCATGTTTTGCAAATGTTCGTGACATGTTGGTCCATACACAAAGTTGAATCCATCAGTGCTCCATATTGGCACATAACTATTCTTATTACATCAGGGACGTAGAAGCATAATTCTTATTGGGGGGCTAAAATGATAACTAGATTGTATTGGGGGGAAAAAGAAGAAAAAAGAAAGCGCGCGCCTGTCGGTATGCTTCGTGCTATAGCTACCTCTACTAAATATTCATTCCTTTTGATTATAAGAATTTTATTTTATAATTGTGAGTATTTTATTGTGAGCAACTTTTAAATCATTGCTCAAAAACGGGGGAGGGGGGGGGGGTATTCAATTTCCGCCTTAGACAATTCATTATTGAGCTGAAGAAACTGGCGTATTAAGGTGGTTCTCCTAGAGTTTTCGGTAGTTTCAGTCAATAGGACAAAGTAATCTATGGCTAATGCAGGCTCACACAGTGCTAACCAACACGTTAACCATATTAAAGTTCATGATCACGAGTTTAGAATTCAATCCTTATGGAGCTGATCACATATAAGGTTACCATGGTAGTAGATATGAAATGGGGGTTCTGCATCACCCGAGTGAGGTTCCATTGAGGTTCCATTGAGGTACCCCCCTCCACCATCAGGGTCTTTACAGAGGTGACGTCATGGCTATTCTTACTACCCCGTGTTTCTAGTCATGTCTGTTTTCAGTTTGCTGGATTGTATTTTAGTTCTCGCGATACCTGTTTGGATATTGTCTTTTTATTGTTGAACAAAACAACAACATCTTTTCCAAACAATCGATGCTCTTCTAACAAGTAGATACCTATACCGACCATATCTACAGATAACTGTTTTACACTACAGCCTGTTGCTCTACCGTGAAATTGGTATTGCACTATTCAAGAAAACGTTATTTACCTCATTTCAAATCAGCTAATCTAAGTGAGAGTTTTAGATATAATGAATAGTGAATACGCTGCTTGATGACATGCTCAAAAACTGCTGAGCTTTTGGTTTCCTTTCTCAGGTCAGCGGCTCACGCCGGGTTTTGATCGGCCGGCTGCTATAGTAGTGTAAAAGTACATAACTTTAATGTTTTTAGTTTTATATCTCCGTACTTGGATAAAGAAACCGCAAATATTGTTTTATTAACTTTTTATTATCATAACTAAACAAATTTTATGTACAATGATGTTCAATACCAACACCTGCGACTTCCAACAAAAGAAATGGTTTCTCGTATACATCCGATTTTTTTAATCTTGATAACATAAACTCTTGTACTGTTGGCGGTTAAATAAAGTTATCAGCATTCACGTCTGTCCTTTTTCTTATAATCCAAGTTGGAGTAGATCTTATAACATTCTTGTCAGTAACTACAGCTAAATTCCGAACTAAAAACACTTTGCCAGTTGGGTATGGACTTGACTATCGCTCTCAATCGTTATTTCTACTTTATAAAAAAGTTTTCACAATCATAGGAGGCCATCAGAGTCTGCGTCAGAAAACCATTGAATCATTCCTCTTGCACTTCAGGATTTTGAGTCATAACAAGAGGTTTTAGCGTATTCGATTTTAAAGAAAGTGTATGCATTAAATTACAGTCTTCGCAAAGATAAAACATTTGTTTTGTATTTTTGGCACTGATAACAAAAGGGCGTGTGCAAACGTCACACACGACTAATTCGTTTTGAGGACTGTGATACGCTTCGTGCCAACAGCAATTCGGGCATTGTGCCACTGATATCTAGAAAAACGATGTGGGTTCTTGACAAGCGTGACACTCTCTTTCTTCTTCAATCAAATCTGCCAATAGTATTTTGTTGCGAATAAGATTCTTGTCCAAATCAAGCTCTGCCAATCCACTGGTAAAAGTCTTGAGCCCTATTGGGGCGTTAACTTCTGGGTTGTAAGGTAACAAAGCATACTCGATTAATTCTTTCATGTTGGCTAGTGGAATTCTACGTTGATGATGAGTCATTTCTCCATGGGAGTTCCAATACAAAATATCTTTGGATGCTACCATGCTATGAAGTAAATCGTGTGCCTTTTGTCGCGGTATGCTTTTAGGGAACTGTCATGCAATTCGATTGATTTCATTCTCATCCGACTTCGAAAATTGCTCCTCCTCGCTAGAGGAATCTTTGCACAGCTCGGGTTCTGTAGATTCTTCTTCTGAAACTCTTCTTCTCTTCATGATGACCTCTACTAGTAAAATGAAGTTCTTGGGATTTGGCTGGGTTTTTTATAGCAGTAAAAGACTCAGAGCGCTCATTAGAGGAGGCAAGACCTCCCCCACCAAGCCCTCGCCTTTTTGAATCAGAATTTTTTCTTTGCTTTAAATGGTATTGATCCATGAGCTAACTTTCTTATGTCATCCTTGTGCGGTCTCAATCTTTCCTTTTGCCCTTCTGATATGGGAATTGTTCCTTGTAACAAATTATGACGTACTTCACAAATTACATGAATTTGTTCGGGGCTGGAAGTTGCAAGCAAAGCCTGCCTCTGTCGTTCGGGGGGCAAAAAGATGCAAATAGCCAAAATTATCAAGGAGCAATCGACTCATGCTTACTCCACTAAATATGAATAGAAATGAAAGTTGTGCATATAGGTTTTTGCCTATTTATTGCAAATGACCATTTGAAGAGCCGAGCCTACGAGCCTTAGTACGAGCCGAGACGAACCTATACGAGCCTACGAGCCGAGCCGAGCCTATACGAGTCTATATGAGCCGAGCTTATACGAGTCTATATGAGCCGAGCCTATACGAGCCGATCCTATACGAGCCTACGAGCCTATACGCGCCCATGCGAGCCTATACGAGCCAAATCGAGCCTATACGAGCCTATACAAGCCTATACGAACCTATACGAGCCGAGCGGAGCCGAGCGGCTTCCAGCGGAGCCAAGCCGAGTCTACGAGCCTATACGAGCCGAGCCGAGCCTATACGAGCCAAGCCGAGCCTACGAGCCTATACGAGCCGAGATGCGCCGAGCCGAGCTTATACCAGCCGAGCCGAGCCTATAATAGTATTTGTAACAGCCTTGTACGGAAGCTCCAGCTTCAAAAAATCCTTGCTCGCTCTCATTTAGACTCGAAATGGGGCGGTTGTGTCCTATTTGCGGCAAGTCAGTGCAGCACGTATGGTCTCATTTAAGTCTTTAAGTCGTGTTCACAAAATCATGGGTCAGCAGCGAACTCTACTACTGCATGGAAAAAATAGTCAGGAAAATGTCAGCCAAGAGTTACCAGTCACCATCCCACTTTTATATGTGGAATGCCGAAACAGATCATTGTGCTAGATTTCAACTACTGCATCCGTTCACTGGTCTGGTAGCTGGAGTGACTGGATCTGGAAAAACAGTTTGGGTTCAGAATTTGTTTGAACATGCAACAAAAGTCATAAGTCCACCACCACAGCGTATTGTATGGAGTTACGCACAATGGCAACCTGCTTACGAACACATGTTAGCAACCATTCCCGGGATCGAGTTCGTGAAAGGCATACCCCACGATATTGACGAGGATGGTTACTTCGACCCCAAAATCAATAATGTGATTGTAATTGACGATCAAATGATCGTTTTTCCAACTACAAACGAATGATGACTTTATTTACCAAAGGATCTCATCATCGCAACCTCAGTGTTATTTTCCTGATGTAAAATCTTTACTTTCAAGGAAAAATTATGCGCACCTTAAGTCTGAATGCTGCGTACCTTGTTCTTTTTAAAAACCCAAGAGATAAACTACAAATTATGACTTTGGTAAAACAAATGTACCCAGGAAAAACAGAACAGTTCATTCAAAAGTACGAAGCCGCTGTTCGAAGACCTTATGGGTATCTTTTCGTGTTTCTCAAACCAAACACACCAGAAGAATGCAGACTCAGAACGAATGTTCTTCCCAATGATCTGCCTGCTTTGCAGACGAATCCTATAACAACATTATCACAGTATGGTGGACAGTCAGATATCACACAATCTATTGCTAACTATTTCGAACGTCAAAGCTATTTACAATTGCCTATATTAAAAACAATGAAGAATTTAGAGGAGCAAATGACTATCATTCTCAAGGATTCCAATACCCCTGCGGAACTAAAAATCAAAAAATATTCGCAGCTATACGATCGATGCCTTAATCTACAACAGCAAATTCAAAGTGGTTCGCCCCACAGCTCAATGCTGGAAACGGTGCAATCACCACAGGTACCACCATGACAAGTCCCAAGGGAGGATGGGTACCTCAATGGCACCTCACTCTAACCTCACTCGAGTGATGCAGAACCCCCATTTCATATCTGTAACACTACGTCAGATATAATGAAGGCCATTCTTTTCATTTAGAAAATTAAAAATTAGAAAATTAGAATAGCTAGTTTTCTTATGTTTTTTTTTCCCGAACTTTGGTTCGGTTGAAACCGGACCAACCGTACCGGTGGCTACGGCCCTGTCTCTGGAAAGTGTGTGTCCAAGTGTGTAATTCTGGGCAGGTTGGTCGCACACGATTCGAAATACCGAGGGAACAGTTGCAGTATCTTATAGATTGGGATTKAACTTCAWCAGATATTGCTCTCAAAGAATCTACAGAATTGGAAAGTTCGTGGAAATGGATTGCTTCTAGAGGAATTGGTGTCTCTGGTACTTCCACCCTGTCTCCTCAAGGCCCCCCAAAAYCCACAAGGAACGCCTGGCTACGCAGGCTAGCTCCTCCTAGTCTCTTGTCACATGATCAGGCTCAGAGTTGACCAGGAACGCCTGGCTCAAAAATGTTTCAAAAGTAATTTGTGTTTGCAAGTAACGCGATCACTGTTCGCAAGTAATGAATGAAAGCCAAAGCGGAAGTCGCTATGTTGGAATGTGAAGAATTAATTGAAAAGGATCGTCGTATTAGACGTAAGCGAGGTGT